ATTAAAACACTTAATACGATGTAAAAATTCTGAATAACCCAGTATCAGCTAGTGAAATTGAAAATGTAATTAAAAAGTTACCAACAGAGAAAAGCCCAGGTCCTGATGGATTCATTGCTGAATTATACAAGAAATTTAGAAATTTAAAACCAATAGTCTTCAAACCTTTTAATGAAGTTGAAAAGGCACAATTCTCCCTAATTCATCCTAGAGACAAATACTATCCTGATATCAAAAGCAGAAAAAGACCCAACCAAAAAAGAGAACTACAAGCCAATCTCTGTAATGAAAATAGATGCAAAAAATCCCCAATAAAATACTAGCAAACAGAGTGCAGCAAATCATCAAAAAGATTATACACCATGACGATGTGGGATTCAACCCAGGAATTTAAGGATGGTTAAACCTACAACAAATAAATGAATGTAATATACCACATTAACAGAATCAAAGACACAAATCTCATGATCATCTCAATAGATTTAGAAAGAGCTTTTGATAAAGTCCAACACTCATTCATGACAAAAACTCTACAGAAAATTGGAATAGATAGTCCTTACCTCAATCTGATAAAAGCCTTCTATGACAAACCAACAGCCAGCATCATAGTAAATGGAAAAAAAATGAAAACTTTCACTCTAAAATCAGGAACAAAACAAGGATAACCACTATGAATACTACTGTTCAATATAGTTATGGCGATCTTAGCAAGAGCAACTACTATAAAAGAGACATAAAAGGAATAAGAATGGGAAAGGAAGAAGTAAAATTATTATTTACAGATGACATGATACTCTGCATAAAATATCCCAAAAATGGCACCAAAAATCTACTAGGTTTAATAAGTAAATTCAGCAGCATAGCTAGATAGAAAGTCAACACTCAAAAATCGATAGCATTCTTGTACATGAACAACAAAATCACTGAGAGAGAAATCAGGGAAACATCACCTTTACATAATAGGATCTGAAAAAACAAATACTTAGGAATCAATCTAACAAAGGAAGTAAAAGATGTATATGTTGAAAATTAAAGTTCACTGAAAAAGAGATCAAAGAGGATCTCAGAAAATGGAAAGATATTTCATGTTCATGGATAGAAAGAAAGAAAAATCAGCTCATTGAGTTTAATACCATGTTTTCCTAACAGTGATGGAATAACTTATCAATGACGAAAGGCTCCTATTTTTGTATTTTTCTGGTTCCTACAGAGTGACCAATGGACCAGCCTTATGGTCAAGCAGAGGACAATGACAAACTGGACTGTGAAATTATGCTCGTATAGGGCATGGCACTATGGAATTCATGATGAAAATTGGAAAGTTGAATTAAAGTTTACACATTGAAGTCCACTAGAAGAAACCCATCACAAGCTTGGAAGGAACTAGAATTGACAAATGAATATTCTGGTATACTTCCTTGAGTTGATCTCCTGAGATCATGAAATGAATGAAAACTGGAAGATATCATCAATACTGAGGTAGCTTAAATTCTTCCAATAAAACCTACTCTGTATTCCAACAAAAGAGATAGAGATTTCAAAGTGGAAATAGGAAAGATTCCCTGGGTGGAAGATGTTAGCATAGTCAACAAGTTTGTCTAATGCAAATAGCTCCAAGAAACAAAACATAAATCCTTGCATGAATAGATACTGTCAATCAGACTTGAGTTACCCAGGGTTAGATGTAAATGGTCAGAGTGTTATGAAGAACTGCAACAGAAAGTATTTCACCATCTCAAAGTAGTGAAACACATTTATTCAGAACAAGGGACACATCTTCAAACCATTATGTCCAACAACAGACAAAGATAGCCTCCTCAGAGACAAAGGTTGATAGAAAACTGCAACACACATTTTCGACACTGGATGTCTAAGATGTGTTGAGATATAAATATGAAGAATTTTTGGTATGCCTATTTCTGCTTTAATTTTTCTTTTTATTACCCCGACTTTCTCTTTTCTACCTAGTGTAATACTCACAGGATCTGTGCTACAATAAGAAAAGTTGAAGGCATAAATAATTCCTAAGCAAAATTTTAAGTAACTATACTTCTAAACCTTTGCACTAGAATTCCTAAAGATCTAGTACAGGTGATTTATGCCTTCACTCCAAACTATGGTTTTAATGTGGTGCCAAAAAAAAATGATGTGCTGAGAGTCACTGAGCTTTTTGGGTCTGTGTATCTATAGATTTCATCAAAATTGGAAAATTGGGAACATTATTTTTTTAGATGTATTCTCTCCATTTCAAGGAATAAAATTGCATATATGTTAAGGTGCTTGTAGGTACTGCACAACTCTTGGGTGTCTTTTCCAAGACTTTCATTGCTCTCTATTTTTCATTTTGTATAGCTTTCATTCAGGCCTTCAAGTTCACTAACTTTTATCTTTCGCAATGATTATTCTTCCTTTCATCTCATCCCATGCACTTTCTATTTAATACTATTGTTTTTATCCCTTGCAATTTGTGTTTCTTGCAGCATCTGTTATGGTTTGAACCTAAATATTGCCCCAAAGCTTCATGCACTCCTAGGTGGGGGTTTTCAGAGCTGGCTGGATCTGGCATATGTGATACTGGGATGAAACTGTGTGATTCTACATCAGTCCTTTGACTGGAATTAGTATTTATGGATGTGGATATGGAAAGGCCCACTCTGGATGTGGGTGACACCACTCAAAATATTTGTACCCTGGATGGGATAAAAAGAAACAGCAGGCTCCTCCTACTTGCAGCTTGATGCCTCCTGCCTGCCCTACCATGGCCTGTTTCTCCTCTTTGATATTCCTCTAGCTTGTCATTCTGCCTTGCAGCCCATCAACTGTAGTTTAAAATTTCTATAAACTGAGCTCAAATAAACTTTTCCTCCTTTACCTTGTAAGTGTTGAATATTTTGTCTCAGCAATAAGAAAAGTAAGAGTGCCCATTTATATACTTGATATTTTCAACATGCTTAATCTGTTATCACTCATTGAATGTTCAGATCTACCAACTCTAGCATTTGTGTTAGATCTGTGTAGCTATAAACTGAGGATTTTTATTATCATGGTTCTTGCTGCTTTGCATGCCTAAGAAATTTTATTGGATGCTAGATCATGTTTTTTACAATTTTACACTGTAGGTTGCTACATAGTTTTATTCTATAAATCTCCTTAGGGATACAGAAAAATTACTTGGAAACAGTTCGAACCTTCTATGGTTTTGTTTGAGGTGTTTAGAATAGGGCTAATTATTTCTTATTACTTAGGCAGCTCCATTTTTTATGCTCCGCACAATACTCCAGTGAAAAAAAAGATGAATCTGCCTAATTCAAACTGGCACTATTTCCAATTCTGTAACAGAATTGAGTATTTCTTCCTTTAAATCAGGCTAATCCAAACCACAGCTCATGGATCACACACCTCCCTGGACAGCTAATAATGAGTCTCCACGAGATGGTAAATTTTAATATTTTATACAAGTTGTAGATACATTTTTCACAGCTCGATTACACGGTGTTCAATTGTGGAGTGTGTAGGTGACAGTGAATGAGGAGTGGATGCACAATGCAAGGATACCTCCACTTTCTGTGACAACCAAGCCTGTCCGTCAAATTGATTTCCACATGCATTATATGTTACCCGTGCTTGTGTGACTTGGTGAGTAAGCTACTCAGATTACCAGTAATAATATTTCAACCTACCTAGAAGTGTGTGTGACAGACATTAGACATTTATTGTTATTAAGCAGATGTTTTCTTCTTAATTAATGAATTTGGGCTGCTATTTTGTAAAATAGTCTAATAGGTTAAAGTATAAACAAGGACATTTTGTTACCTTTATACATTAAATATTATATATATATATATATATATATATATATATACACATATATATACAGCCTAAAACAATCATGCTTCACTCAATGAGATCCTAACAAGGCAAAAGATTGGATACTCATTCCCTAAATACAGGCTGAAAATTCTCAAAGCTACAGCAAGTAAAGCCTCACCCCACTTGTTTTTCATTTCTGAGGCATCTCTGTTCATTGGCACCAGATGCTCATAATTTTTCCAAATTTGATGTGTGGGATTTGGGACCAGGGAATACTTTGGGTCAGAGGGTAACTCTGTGTCCTGTTTGCTCTATTTTGAATCTTTTTGTATTAAAGATACTGTAAATGATAAACCATCATACACTGATCTCTCCTTCATGAAATCACCAAGGTGAATATTTATTGCAATAATCCTCATGCATTGACTGCCAACTGTATGTAGGACACTAAGATTTAGGCAAATGATAGGAAAAGAAATAAAGAAAGATGACGATCCTTGAACTAAAAATGATCAATATCTTCCTTCTCAGAAGCAATGTGAACGGTAACGCTCAGACTACCTTAGCTCTGTGAGAACTGGTGTCAATAAGCAGGCAATGTCATGGAACAAAGCCATTGGAGTCCTTTTTAAGAGATCAGGAAAAGCAAATTGGAAAATCTGTTCAAATGCTTCCTGTCCTAGATTTTATTCATTGTTCAAGATTGTTAATGATTAGGAAAACCACACATAGGAGCTTTCCCCCACACTACCAATTATGAGAAGGTATAAAGAGGTGGGGCATTAAACACGAATGTTTACTGGCCACACAATTCACTGCAGTCACTGATGGGCAGCTTTTTTCAGCAAAGGTACAAACCAAACCCCGCCTGAGGCACAAATGAGATATGATGTGCACAGCTAGATGACAGGTGATGGAGGAACATGAGGGTTCCTTACCTACCCCCCTTCACCATCAAATGCCAATCTTGGCAGCACAAGAACTGCATGCAGGCTGGTCAGCAGGCTGGTGGGCACTGGTCAGCAGGCTGCTTCCCATGAGGTTGATGATGTTGGTGCTCTTGCACAAGATGTGTGGTGGCAGGCAGTCATGGGTTTATTGCAAACTAGAAGGGAGTCACTGGTTGACCAGGAGGGAGGAGAAGCAGAAAGTTTCAATGTCTTCCTAGAGCTCTTGATAGTAAATAGTGTCTAGATGGAAGGGTCAGGTTCTTTGCTGGTATCCTCCCTGTCCTCATCTGTAGATGTTTTCTCCTGCTTGCCACTGTCAGGTTTGCTTGAGGCACTGAGCATCTCATCCCTCTTTGGGTCACTTGGAAGTGGTGTGGGTTTCGACCACAGTGGAGCACAACCAGCAACAACCCCCATGTGGAAGCCTTTAAAACACCAATGCCGAAGGAGATCTATTGCTTTGTCCCTGTTACTGTGGTACTTCTGCTCCCACTGGGTGGCAAGAATGTTGAAATATCGTTGCTGCTCAAAAAAGCGGAGATAACAGAAAGAGGTATGGGAAGGAAAAATTCGTTCAAATTGACCACGACGAGAAAACTCATCCTCCATCTCAACCAGAACGCGAATGTCATCTGATGTCAGAATATCCAACACAGATTCATAGATCTTCTGGTCCGGAACCTTCTGAGCCAGGTAATAAGCTTTCTTCATCTTTTGTGCAATAAGATATTCTGAAGTTGATGGACATGTGGGGCAGCTGGATAAGCCCTCGGGGAAGCTGCTAGAGGTACAGGAGGTGGAACTGATGTCCTCTGTGTTGGGCAGAACAAACCCTGCCAGATTCAGAAGGTCACGGATCATCTGGCCTTTGATGCTGATGTCCAGTGCAGAGTTGGAGTGGAGGCTGGGTGAAATGTTGACTTCCAACACCCAGGGCTTGAGGTTCTCATCTAGCATAATGTCAAAACCGAACAGCTCGTGGCAGTTGTAGGATCGCCGGACATATATCTTGAGCAGGTTGGTCACATAAGGTTCTGATGAGATGATGGTTTTTATGACAATGTCCTTTATCTTCTTCCAAATGGCATCACTCCTGATTCCCTTCTGGTTTAGGTATTTCCACAATGCTTTCAGTGCCCATTTGTGGCCCTGGCAGGCTGTTTCATCTGCATTGGCCTGGTACTCAGTATTCCTTCTATTGATGCTATAGTTGGTCAGATGCATGTACTTGTTGCCAAGGCTCTTCAGAGAAGAGGAATACTTGCAACTGGCAAAGCGGGCAAGTCCATCTGAAAAGAGGTAAATCCGTAGAGGATCATAAGAAGTGACGTAAACATAGATCCGCAGATCGAACTTTCTGCCGTTGATGAGGTACGGTTTGTGTAGATACCTCTGTACCAGGAGGGGCCTGCGTTTGGGAAGCTGACTCCACTGGTGGATCACCTGAATACCAACGCCTCGAGCTGATGCTGGTGGCTTTACAATCCACTTTTGGCAAGTATTGTTCTCCCAGATTTTGTGTAGGGCCTTTGAGTCCTGAGGTAGAATGAAAGACTGGGGAAAGAAACTGAATTCTTTCTTGCCAAAGCGGTTCTGCATTCGAGATAAGTTGCACCATAACTGATCTTTTCGCCCAATCTGGAATGAGCCCGGGAAATGGTTGAACTTCTGATGGTCTCGAATGGTTCGGAAACCAGTACACTTCATGTGGCGACCCCAGCAGCCCAGCCAATCATCATTTCTATTGCTAATTGAGAAATGGGACCGCTCAATGGTCTGCTTGACAATGCTGGGGGTCACTACACTCATCTTCCATCGTAGAAGCTTCCTCTGATGCCAGGGAAGTTTCTCCACTCTCTCATTCTGAGTACCAAAATAAATAGTAGGGGGAACATTGAAAAAGAGGCTAGATGTGAGCGCTGGTCGTGCAGCTTTCTCAGGATTGGAAATGGCTTTGGTCTCAATGTCCTTGCTGTAGTGAGAGATTGCTGCCATCAACTCTTTGGGGGATTCAGAATTTAATGGTGAGCGCTCATCTCCCTCCTCCTTTTCATTCTCATCATGGCAGGAGCTGACTTCCAATTCATCTACTAGCTCTTCTGTATCCTCAGCCTCTGTCTGGTTTGGCTGACAGTGGTTATCCAAACGAACAGCAGGTAAGTCCAGTGGTGTATTTTCCTCACGTTCTTCCTTCCTGGTCTGGCCTAGATGAATGGAAGCCAAGCCAGTGGCCACTTCAGCTCTACCAGCTAGCTGATGGGAAGAAGGGAGAATAGGAAGAATGGGAGCTCTGTCTTCTCTAACTGGTAGGGGGTCAAATACAGATCCACAGGCAGGGCTGGGGTTAAGCCTGTTGGTGTGTGATGCAACGAGGTGAATGTTGCTCCTCTTGGTACAATGTGTTATACTGTCCAATCCTGCAGTATCTGAGGCTCCAGGGAAGATCTTCTTGTCTGATCCAGCATTCTGCTGAGAAACTTGCTGGCATACCAAAGGAGGCTTCCACCGTCTGCTCCTGGTGAGGAGGCTCCACTGGAAGCTAGAATTTCCAAAAGAAGCCTGTCCAGGCTGGCACCCTTGCTGTGGTTTCTTCTCAGTGTCCTTTGCAGCCAACTTCCTCACAGTCTCGGTGAACTGAGGCTCTTTTTGTAGAGCCTGGGAATTGGAGTTATCATCCAGTTTCCAGGGCCTTGGCTCTGCTCTTGTGCCTAAGTTTTTCTGGTTGTACTGGGAAGGAGCAACGCTGATGGTGGATGTGGTGAAGGAGGCAGGGGTAGGCAGGGTAATACGGGCAGTAGCATCATCTATGACTGTGCGAATGCACTTGGGCATCTTATGGTTAAAGACTGGGGCTGCACAGTTTCCAGTAATCCCCAAATGATGTAAGAACACTCGGTGAGTCTTGGCTGAGGATACTGGCTTTAAGCTCCCTGTGTCCTCAGAGAAAGGCACTTTAACGACGTTTGGTTTCATGAAGATATTGCTGTTCAATGTAGACTTTGAGAGGGACAATGGAGATGGGATCCGGCTCGGGATGGCAGGAGTCAGGCTCCTTCTGAAAGGTTTTCTTCCAGATGTTTGCAATGACAGGCATGGATCTGTGGACGGGACTGTGGGGAAGACGGTGGAAGAAGTGGCTTTATTGTAATTGGCACTGGCAGGGATCCTCTTCTGAGGGACCGAAAAGGGTCTTTTATCTGATGTGTTCGAATGCACGCGGAAAGACCTTGATTGGTGCAACGTCTTGTGTGTATTGTCAGATTGCTGGTAAAGCAGGGCACTGCTGAACAGGCCTGGGAGAGAGCCTAAGTAATTGGAGTTGTCATGGTCTGTGATGCCACTTGTGCTGCCAGAGCTACTTAAAGATCTGGAGCAAGAGAAACGTGCTGCCCGAGGTGAGACCCGTAGGAGGCGTGGGCGCAGCCCTGTGGGTAATTGGCTAGCATGCTTCCTCTCCAACTTCCAGATTGGCTTTACCCGTTGATAGGCCCGAGACCAGGCTCTGCTCTCAGAGGGGCTCTCAGGTGGCGGGGCAGGCACTGTCCCTGAGACACTGCACAGCGTGGAGTTGTTTCTGCAGTGGAAGCCAGGACTGTTAAGCTCTTCTCCCCCTGACGCCATGTGGGGCCAGCTTCACAGCCACAAGGAATAGGGGCCTGGCTCAGGACAGGTACTACCAACTATCAGGACCATCCTGAAAATCTGTCAGCTGTCTCGGATGGCTAAAGAATCCCCTTGAACTGACCCTTTAATCAGCAGTTCGCCAGTAACTTACTTTAGGAGCCTCTGGGACCCAGCTAGGCTCCGCGCGGCTTCCTCGTGGGGGTGCTGGGCAAACGAGAGTCCTCAGTTGCCCCTAGCGACCACGCACTGTCACGTATCCTTTGCTGTTGACGTTGCTGTCGCACATGCGCAGTGCGGGCCCGCAGGAGCCAATGTACCTTACAGTCTCCTGATGTCTTGTTAGTGCATCTTTAGAGGTGTGTGTCCGTGTACGTGTGTGTGTCAATGTGCGTGCAAATGCCTGTGCACAATCACAGGCAGTTACAAAAGCCCATTTCATCTATGAAGAACTATGAAAATGTGTATGGAATTTAGATATGCTTTAGTTTTCTGGATGATATTCCTTTTCTAAATTACACTTTTGGAGAGCTGCTTATGATAGAGTGAGTCATTTCAATGACTCTGTGAAGCAAAATACATACCCCTCCCTTAGCTGCAAAGGATATTTGTGTGCTCCCACATGTGGAATTGAGTGCCATATTGTAGTACTATGTGACGTTAATGCAATCTGACATATAATGTTACACTTGGGCAAGCCCAGTCCTCCCAGGCTTTGCTTCTAGCTAACTCAATACTTAAGAATGATTTCAAGGAAAACAGTTGGTAAGTCCGCAGACCAAAAGATCAAAATAATTAAATTTCAAAGTGCCAAAAAGTCACTCGTATAACATATGTTTCTTCAGTCATAAAAAAAAAATTTATGAGGTAAATATAAAAATACTTCGAAATATATTTTATACTTTTGCTTTTATTGTACTGATTATTCAAATTAAATAGCATATAAATATTGAAACACTATATGCCCCCTAGCACAAAACAGCCAATAGATGTGTCAGAATAACACATCTTTTCTTACCCACCACCTCACTTCCTTTAGTCATCTGAGTGCCTCATTGCTCTGTAGATGTCTCGTGTCCCTGAACTCTGCTACCTTCTATAGCTTTAGGTTATGAGGATGTCCTATGAAATCATACAAAAAAAAACACACACACACATCTAGATGAATGAGTTACCTATACCAGTGCAATCCAATAAAACGTTCAGTTGTGATGAAAATACACATATCTACACTACCCTAGTAAGTAATTGAAAATACATTAGCATGACTGGAGGACCTGAATGTTTTATTTTATTTCATTTTCATTAGTGTACATTTAAACAGCAACATTTGACTAGTTACTACAAATTTGACCACTGTAGATCTATAGCAGTACTATTTAAGGTAACCACCTAAATTTAAACTTATTGGTACGTGTTTGTAATACACAATGTTTACACTCTTTGTGTGGAGTAGGTACATGTGCATAACACTCTACACTCCTTTTTTCATCCCCTTTCTCTTCCTTTCCTCCTCTCTCCACCTATCTCTTGATCCCCCTATTTTCATCTTCTTCCCTTCCTCTTACTCCCCTTTTGTCTCTTGACTACCTTACCCTTTGCAAAAGACCTATCTCCCTATTTCCTACCTTCTATCTTCTATTTTTCTCTTTATTTATACTTCATTTCTCATATTAAGAGAAATCATGAGATAAGATAGTGTTCTTCATCAACTAAATTTAAGATCTATCAACATTGTAGTAAAAGGTGAATACCAAAACATTGTATGTGGTAGCCACTTAGATTCTGTTCTCTTCTTCCAACAATGTAAGGATTGATACAGAAAACTGGGAGGAAATTTCCCCTTCAGTGCTCTGGAATGTGTGAACACGCATTTCTCAGATTCTGTGAACTGATAAAATTTAACTCAATTTCAAACCATAGCTTTGGAAATAAGAGTATATGCCATGCCTTTACCTGATGCTCCATTATGTGATATATTTATATCACATACATGCTGCAATGAAAGAGAACACCTCACCCAGGGGTCATTTATAGCATAAGATACTCTTACGATATTGGCGAGAACTGGCAGCACCATGGGTGACAAATATATCGCCTGCATCTAAATGATGCGGGAAGTGCTGTAGAGCGGCAAGCATCTGAACTTTTGAACTTTGAAGAGCACAGTGTTTTCCAAAGCACATGCATATCATCACTGCATGAACCCATGTCAAGAAAAGACCACTGCTTTTGCAGAAAATATTCTATGTGGCTAGGCTCAATCATACTGTTTGCAATAATTATGATTTTATTTTTTTCTTTCTTTCTGCATCTCCCTGCATCTGACTAACATAACTGACAGTGACTATTACATTCTAAATCTATAATAAAGTGTTTTTAAATAAAATAACCTCAAAAGAAATAGTGGGACATTTGAAGTTTCAAAGACCAACCGAGAAAGTTGAGTTTTGATAGTCAACTTTATGGCCCTGAAAAAGACTAATAACAATATTTCACTGCATTTAATATGACAAAGACACTTTTGTTGGTTAGTCTGAAAAGTACAGGCATTTGAGAATCGTTTTGAAAATTCTTAAAAGGAAAGGTAATTCTGTTATAGTTGGTGCTCCAAGGAATCTTAACACATACGTATGGGTCAGGCATCTTGGCACTGCAAATGCATTTTTCTCTCATTTTATCCTTAATTACCTAGTTTGTAATGAGCAGTGTTACAATATTGTGTGCGTATGCACTTCCCTTTGTTTTAACATAACAAGTTCTTTTCATTAATATGCCTCTTTCTCAAAGGAATAAAAAGGAAACTAACTTATCCTTATTCTGGTTGAAAACAGATAGCAATGCATAATGCTGCCTTTGCCCTAGACTTGAGTGTCCTTCTCTTAACATTGGTGAGGACAGTCAAGAGACTTCACGGACAGGCAGTGACAATCTGGTTCAAAGAAGTGGCTACAGCAATGGGAATCTGAAGAAAAAGGATGGAAGTGGATTAACAAAAAGAGAGGAAGGGTTTGAGGAAGTTGAACGTATAGGCACTGAAGGGGGAAATTCTAAAATACAGAAAATAGATAAAGAAAATAAAAACAACTATTTTGCCAGCACTGTCCTGTCTGTCTCTCTTACCACAGTATATCTCCGAAAGCATGAGCTGAATGAATGTTTTTTTTTTTTTTTCATTTGCTCCTTCCTAGTCCTCTACCACAGTGATTCCAACACTGCTGTGGGAATATGGGGCAAAAATATTAGTGGATGCATGGATGAATGGATGGATCAATAGTTGAAGGAAAAAAAGAAGTAAGAAATAAAGAGGAGGAGAAGGATAGAAGAAATAGGAAAAGTCATAGGGAATCCCTAGTACAGGCAAGCATCCTATGCTCTGATTCGGTTTGAAAGGGAAGGGATAGCAGCTTGCCTGGTGTCAGCCCTCTCCCGGGAGTGGCTGTTAGCATGCAGTGCATACACAAGATGCTCAGGATGGAGAGTGTGGCTCCCCTCATCACTCAGTTTGTGAGTACCATTTACTTTGCTGGGGCAAACTCAGAGGAAAAGGAGAAGAAATATAGTATCTTACAGTGATGTGCTGTCTCTTACAACAGATTAAATGAAATTTTACCTATTCCTAACTACCATTTATGCTGCCCCACTTCCTTACTGTAAAAAAGTCTGTATGAACACCTATAGTAGCAGAGGTTTACTACCTCCTTAATTTATTTCTAGTGGAATCCTTTGCATTTGAAGAGAGCTTGAATCAAAACATCTTTCTTCACAACTTCTGTCCTTTAATGTTATCCCTTGCACCCAGTCCCATAGTTTAGTCTGCCTTCTATATGAAAACAATTCTTCATTAATATTCTGGCAGGAAACAGATGGCATACTGAAACATATAATTAAAGAATTCAATGACGTGACTATTTATAAACAAGGGAATGGAAAGGGAGTTGAAGGATCTGGGGGCTAGCAAGTTGCTGCCAGGGCAAGAGGGGGGTTCCAGAGGAAGAAGTAAATAAAAAAGAAAGAAGCCCAACAGGAGCTATGATATTCAGGAGAATGGCACAGCCACTGCCAAGCCTAAACTCAGCTACGGGGATGAAAGGAAATACAAATTGTGACTTTTCCCTCTTATTATGTCTTGTTGGTGTCTTCCATTGCCTGAACCCAAATAAAACCCAGAGAGTAAGAGAGTGGAGAGGCTGGAGAAGAAATTTTGAAGAGCATAAACTACTTAGCGTATTTGAAGTTTGAACCTCTGATCTCTCAGCATTTCATCCAAACAAGCACCTTCAGTTGCTCTGTTCTGTTCAGTAGATGAATGTGAATCTATTCGCCAATTCAGATGCCTGTTGACCTAACATGTCAGTACAAGGGAGCTACTATGTCAGCTCTCCAAGTCTAAGTAACACAACTCTGAGGTCATTTACCTTGATTTAGTTAATCAAGAAATACTTGATTAACCTGCAGTTAAACTACACAACAGAGTCATCCTTTATGATAATTGCTATTCAAATGCTTCTACCTATCAGCCCTGTTATTCAGGGATAACCATTGTCTCACATATGCTTTAAGCATATAGCATGCTTTTTGGACCCAAGAGGACAAGACTGAGCATTCATCTATTTAATATTTCATTCAGACAATCGCCTCAAGTTGTAGCTTTCTGGAGTATTCTTACAAATAAAATCAGATTCTTAATTAAAGAAAATTTAGATATCGTCTAGTACTATGCTGATATTCTGTGTCAGGAAAAGTCTAGGACACCCCAACTGAGAGCTTGATCAAGTTTATAGCTGAGTAGGATTGGAGCCTTTTGGCTTCTGATCTTGACCCCAAAGAGCACTGATCTAGAATCATGGAGCATTTTACTTTATTTTGTGTGTTTATTTTCTTCAAACACAGAAAAATATATATTCTTATTTACTTAGTAACATTGTCTTTCGGAATCATGTTCATCTGCTATTTGTCTGATGATAGTGGTCTCTCAAACTATTAGGTAGCTGGCAATT